CAGAGGCTCCATGGAAAAAAGCTTGGCTACCTGCTTTCATGGGTAACTCTGAAAATCCTGTGGAGCAAGACACTAACTCTCTGCACACAAGGTCACCAGGATTTGGAATCTACACAATGACAAGTGTTTTGGTTGATGGGGAGAAAACAGGAGAGACAAAAATAACCAATACAAAGAGGAAAAAAACAAGACATCGCTACTGGTTCTAGCAACTGACATTAAAAAGTTAACAGGATATCATAAATGATACTAGGTCAACAAACTTGCAAATTTAGATGAACTGGATGAATCCCTTGAAAGGCACAATTTACCAATTGCTATAGAAATAAACTAAAATCTGGTATCTACTAAAAGACACTGAATCCCACAGAAGAAAAGCCAGGCCCAATTGAGTCCCTAGAATTCTCCTACTTATGTAAGAATGTAAATTATATTAAACTCTTCTATAAAAATGGCTGACCGTTGATCAGTTCTTTTGGGTACTCTGTGTATTCCTTCCATTTTCTTTGAATGCTTCCCATGTCCCTCAACTTTTTGTCCATATCATCATGCTTTAGTAATGCAACTTAAAGTTAAGAATTTTCAGTTATTTTAGCTTAAGAGATACTTAAGCTAAAGGATCATGTCCTTCCTTCTTGGTTTGCCTAAATCCAAGTCTTTGCACATTTCATCATACTTTATCTTTCTTCTCAAGTCACCCTTTGAAATTTTGGTTCACTCTCTTACATCATTTCGACGTTCCCTTTACCTACTCTGCACTTAGGAGCAAGTTTCAGAGTCTGAATAGTGCTGCTGGTGAGGCATACTGAAAGGATGGACTGCCAGAGCAACAAACAAATCAGTCTTGGAAGAAATACAACCAGAAGGATTCTCAGAAGTGAGGATGGCAAGGCATTGGCTCATTTACTCTGAACATGTCAACAAGAAGGTCCAATTGCTGGATAAGGGCACCATGTCCGGGAAAACAGGTCAGCCAACCAAAGGAAATGCTCGATGAGATGGGCTGACCCAGTAGCCACCACAATGGATTCAAAACATGAAATACAGTGATCACATGAAGAAGGCAAAGGCCTGCATAGCACATTAAGTTTCATACATACACTCACTGAGTTGATCCCAATTCCACAAGGAAAAAAAAAATCACCAACCAAAGAGGATAAACCAGAAGGAGTCCATCCCAACTCGTTTTCTAGGGGTCTGAATATCAGAACTTATCAAAAACAATGCAAACAAGGAAAGTTATAGTTCAATCATTTTTAAGAATAGAGAGAGAAAAATCCGATCTGTTTTTGACCTACTTATTAGGTATATATCTTTCCATATCAAGTGCAGAAATATGTAAAAAGGATAAAACGTTACAACCAAGGCGACATTATTTCAGGAATGCAAAACTACATTAATATTTTCAAGACAATGAATGTAATTCACCAGTAACAGAATTATGGCAACAAACCAAAAAACTGTCTCAAAAGATGGGGGAGAGCGGGGTTCTAATAAAATTCCATACCCATCCATGATAAACATTATCAGAAAGCTATAGCAACTGTCCTATTTAATGGAGTAATATTGAAAGATAGCAGACCAGAATGTCTACTGTCACATTTCCATTCTACATTGTTCTGAAGGGCCTAGCCAGTTCAACAAGGTGAGATAAACATTAAGGCATGCAAAGTGCCTGGTACACCTACCTTATTAGCTCGTTACAACAGAATTACAAAAATGCTCACAGAATAATGAGGATCTAAGAGATGCAAAGGGGGCTGGATGAAGGGGGGCAAGGTGAGCATCAAAAAGATGACAGTAACAGATTACAAAACTACGTGGAGAAAAAATCCACGAGTCTATAGTTATATAAGAATAAACCCACTACCATTAAGTAGATTCCAACTCAGTGACCCTGTACAGGGTTTCTGAAGCTATATATCTTTAAAGAGGCAGATAGTCTTAACCCTGTCCTAAGGAGTGGCTGGTGGGTTTGAACCACCAACCTTGTGGTCAGCAGCCCAACACTTGCCTGATAGGAATGCAAAAAATGAGTGACTGCTGGATGTTTGCACAACCTCAAGGTATCACCCCATAAATTAATTATTAATTTCAAAACAAAACCTTAAAGCAGACAAATGTGACAAGGGGAAACAAAGCCCAAATTGAAGAGCATTCTTCAAAATAAATGCCAAATAGTCTGTCTTCAAAATGGCCATAGTCGAGAAAAACAAAGAAAGGTGGATTAAAGACCACAAAGACGTGACAACTATCAACTATCAAATGGACTGAGAGAAAAATGAGCTATAAATGAGCTATAAATTACTGAGATGACGACAAAACATGGATTTGGGAATAGGAGCGTATAAATGCCGATTTCCCTTGTTATGATCATTGTAACGTGGACCTCAAAAGCAATGAAAGTGAGACTTTGACTCACTCACTTTGGATATGTGGGTAGGAAAGATCACTCACTAATAAAGGACATCACAGCTGGGAAAGATGTGGGCCAACAAAAATGAGGGAAATCTTCAGTCAGCTATAGTGACAAAAGCCACAACAATGGGCTCATTGGCAACACATAGCAATAGTAACTGTGGTCACACAGAATGAATGCCCTTGTTCTGAAGAAAGACACACGAAAGTATTTAGGGGTGCAGGTGTTCCGTAGCTTCAAATGCTCCCAATGGTTCCAAGAAAAACTTAAATACCTGTGTGTGCTAGTGTATTTAAATGAGGGTAAGGCAAAAAATATTCCTGCTAGGGTTCTAATTCATAAGTGTTTAAACATAGCTCTGTGATCAGTGGGTGGCTGTAGACAAGGTCTCTCAGTAATACACTTCTGTTAGTCTCCTTAGGGTGGCTTTAAAAGAAAAACTGCCACCAAGTCAATTCAGACTCACTATAAATCTTTACAGGACTAGAAAGCCTTATCTTTCTCCCAAGGAGCAGCTGGTAGTTTTGAACTGCTGACCTTGCAGTTGGCAGCCCAATGCATAACCCACTATGCTTCCAGAGCTCCCTCAGAAAAAATAAAAAGTCCAGTCAAAAGGGGATCTGTCGTCCTGTATCTCACAGGTAGGACTTTAGAAAGTTCTACCTAGCAAAAACACTAAACCCCACAGATATTAGGTGCGAAGAGGTGATAAAGATAATCAAGTGAGGCTTTACAAACTCATCTGGATCCTGCTAGTTCACAGGCTCGCTGCTGGGAAGCCACCTGACAGCAACACCATGCTGGGAAACCAGAGCAGCTTTGGGTTCACGTTGATGTGCCACTGAGTCGGTTCGGATCACAACAGATCACAACGCTGCCTGCTCCTGCACCATCCTCACCATCGCTGTGCCGGAGCCCATCAGTGCAGCCACTCCGTCAGTCCACCTTGCTAAGGGCCTTCCTCTTTGTCACTGCCCCTCTCCTTTCCCAGACACTGTACTCGCCTGACAACAAATCAAAAGTATATAGGACACAAATCCACCATCCTTCCTTCCAAGGAGCACTCTGGTTGTCATTCTCCCAAGACAGATCTGTTTGTCCTTTTGGCAGTCCATAGTACCTTCAGCATTCTTGCTCATCAAGGATAATTCAAGTGTAGAGATTCTCCAGGGGTCTTCCTTATTCAGCGTCCAACTTTCACACGTGTTTGAGGCGATTGAAAATACCATGATTTGTGTCAGGTGCACCTTAATTCTTAAAGTAACATTCTTGCTTTTCAACACTTTAAAGAGCTCTTGTTTAACAGTGCCCCCCCCCAACCCCAATCACCCAAACATGTAAGGAGCCTGGGTTCCCCATATAACTGCATTCCCTCCTCCCCTTTAAATGGGGTGATTTAGGAAGAAATGTCCAACTTTCTGAAAAATTTAACCAAATTGCCCCCACCCCACCCCTGGACTCAGACTTGAGATCCAGCTCCTTTTAGAGCTGATGGGGCCCCCAGACAGAAACACAGGCAAGGGCACTGGCATAGATTAATAGCTTTATAATAATGTGGCATAAAAGAAACTGGCTTCCATTTGTACTCTTGCCCTTAATCCACACGTTAGCTTGAGCAGTGCCTGTTCACATTATTGTTGGGCTTCACAGCCAATGTTGCTGTGGTCCAGAAAGTACCTTGTATGTAATATTACATTTCTTTTAAGACGGTAACAAATAAAACCTGACAACTTAATAATAAAAAGACAAATACACCAATCACAAAACGAGCAAAGGGCTTGAATAGACATTTCACCAGAGGATTTTCAAATGGTCACTGAACACATGAACGTATGTTGTGTTAACAGCCATCAGATAAATGCAAATCAAAACCACAATGTGATCCCATTTCACTCCCAAGAGGATGGCTAAGGTGAAATAAACAAACAAGCAAACAAAATAATAAATGTCGGCAAGGCTGGGAAAAGTGGAACCCTTAATCAGAGCAGAGGAAAATGCAAACGAGGTACTACTGCGGAAAACGAAAACAAACTCACTGCCATTGAACTGATGCTGTCATAGCGACCCTACAGGGCAGGGCAGCACTGGCCCCTCAGTTTCCAAGGCTGTAGGAAAACAACTGCAGGCCTTGTGGATCGCAGCCATGGCGCCCCAGGGTTTCCCTATGGAAAACCAGTAAACACAAACCTGCCTTGAGCGTTGTATGCTCTTATAAGAAAGAAACATTTGCATGGAATCAAACTGACAACAGCAACTCCGAAGATGAGACCGAGGTCTTGGGGCGGTGGGGGTGGAGGGTGGAGGGCGGGCCATACAGTGCGTTTCTGTTCATAGGGAGGAACAACTCAGACAAGGAGGGTGAGAATGGTTGTACAACTGGAAAATGTCATCAGTGTCACTGAATGATACATGGAGAAGCTGTTGAACTGGCGTGTGTTTTCCTGGTGGACTCTCAGCAGTAGGAATAAAATACAAAAAATATTAAGTGAACACAGATATTAAAAAAGGAAGACAAGGCAGCAGGCCAAAAACCAAACCACACCTCAGGAAGAGTGTCTCCTCTAGGGGATGGGCCACTTACCATCATTCTAGATTTCCCTCCTTGGTCAAGCAGCTCATTTACCACAAGAACCCATCGGGTGTGCCTCCTATAGAAAAAAAACATTTTACATCACTATAAATTAAATCAAATTTATTCATAAAAATACCAGCCTTAAAGTTTTTTAACACATTATGCAACCACAACAAAAATGGATCTTCATACAGTGGCGCTTCTGGCTGCATCTCCAGAATGCCCACCCAGCGACTGGGTGGAGCCCTACAAATTGAGTGCCTTTCGTCCCTTCCTGCTGGGTCTGAGGAGAAGGTAGAACGAGATGCAGAAAGCATTACGATTCAGTTGTGAGGGACTGTTGCGGGACTGTCAACAAGGTTCATGGTAATTATTGTCATTGGGAACTCTAAGGAGAGCTTGGTCAATTTTGCCATGGGCTGGGTATAAAATGAGCCGTCTTAGAAGTAGAATAGAGGAGAGGATCTCACTATCATGTAGAAAGGAGAGCCAAGGGTGGATGGCATCTTTTGGACCCAATGTTCCCCACACACAGCACCCCTTCCAGCCAGGGTCAGAAGCTATGACAACGCAAAAGCACAGCAGCAGAGGCAGCACCAAAAAGAGCATGGCGGCGCTCAGAGACAAAAACCATCACAGAGTGAGAATGTGTCCTTCACAACACTATCAAAAACCGAACCTCTTTCAAAACCATGTGTGATTTGCTTAGCTCGTTTATATACCCAGGGACTCAAGTGGACAGTTTAAGAAGCCCTGCCCTTGTTTTAGAACTGACTTGATAGCAGAAGGTGATGGGAAAGGCAGGTGGAAATGAAAATTACTAAGTTAACTATAAATAAAGCACAGGGTTTGGGAGAGAGGTGCTGCCCAGAGAGAGGTGGGGTGACTTAAGAGCACATGCTCTGTGTTCAGAAGCAAAGCTGCAGTGAAGTCACACGTACAAGTACTGCCAGAAACACTGCAGATTCACTTTGTGTGTGAGAAACACTGCAGATTCACTTTGTGTGTGATTGTGAATTATTTTTCGGTCATTATATATTAAGAAATATTTTACTGTGGCCAAATTTTTCACCACCCCTACATTCGGTTATGTTACCCCGTATGTGGTGATGAAGCAGTTTAAGCAGCTTTGCCCCACTGGACAGAATAAGACTACTCCTAGGGTTTCTGAGGGTGTAAATCTTTACAGAAGTGAGACACTTACTGGTGGTGCTGGAGAATACTGAAAGTACCATGGACTGCCAAAACAACAATCTGTATTGGAAGAAGTAAGGCAAAGTGCTCCTTTGAGGCTGTGGGAGCAGACTGTCTTGAAGTGAGCTCTGGGAAAGGAATACGGGGCTTCCGAGTAACAGAGTGCATTTACAGGACAGTCTGAACCTCATTTCCTTCTTCAACCAGTACAGGACCACCACACTCCACGGTTTAGGCAAGGCCCGGGGGAAGGAGCTGACAGCTCAACCCAGGGAGCTGAGGCACGACATGATCTGACCTTCACCAAAGATAAGGTAGACACTTTCCCTCTCGTTCCTGGGAACCGCTGAAACATCTTCTCCTCCAGGCCTCAGACAAATTGGCTACACTATTATTGCGTCTATCTGCCTTCCAATACTTGTCAAGAGACCCTTTGTGGGGGACCTTGCCATGGAATGCAGGATCTGTGATAAGAGCTGCATAAAAGCCTGTCTCAAATGAAGAACCAGGCCTTGGAGTCTCTTCTCCTTGAGCCCCCTGCACCCCAACTGTGTATCATGTCTTTTGTCTCTATTCTGTTTTCTCAATTGCAACCATGCCCCTCTCCACCCTAGTTCGACTTGTGCACTGGCTCTCACAGGCAAGGATGGCAAGCTTCGTCTTACATACTTTGGACATATTGTCAGAAGAGACCAGTCCCTGGAGAGGGACATCATGTTTGGTAAAGTAGAGGGGCAGCGAAAAAGAGGAAGGCCCTCAACTAGATGGATGGACACAGTGACTGCATCAATGGGCTCAGGCATAGGAACAATTGTGCAGACGGTGCAGGACCGGGCAGTGTTTCATTCTGTTGTGCACAGATCACTATGGGTCGGAGCCTACAACAATGACAATTAATCTATACAGAGTTAGACTGACTCATCTTTCTCCTGTGGAGCAACCGTTGGGCTTGAACCACCGACCTTGTACTGCTAACCCCAGAGCTCCTTTTGAATATACTCAAACTCACTGTCATAGAGTCAATGCTGACTCACAACCACCCTATTGGAGTTATAGTTTATATTAAGTACCCAGGCTCTCCAAAAATAAAATTAAATGGAAGAGAAGTAGTACTAATTAGCCATGGCAAATAAATGTAAAACAGATACCAGAATAGTTCAGTATATCCTAACCCAGAGGCTTCATATTTTTCTACAAGCCAT